CTTTTTTTTTTTTTGATGCTTCAGAATTCCAGTCTTCAGGGTCCAGGAATTTTTTTTTATATTCTTATCTTTATATCCTAAGATGGAAAGGAACTTAATCAAGCCAAATATGTCCCACAGAAAATCCTTTGAAATGATGGATTGATTAGTGAAAAATTCTTTCCATCTGCCTCAATTTCCCTCCTAAGCCCTTGAATTTCCTTTGAACATGTAAAGTACACTACTCTTCCAAATGTGGAGTGTTGATAATTTCCATGTTACTTACATCAACTGAAAATAATAAGAAGTTAAAATCTTTCTAACCTCTCCTATGTTTAAAGAAATTAATAAAAATAACTTTATCATGGCTGCCATATTATTATTGCTTCAAATTTGTTGAGTGCTCATGATGTACAAGACACTTTGACAGAAACTATATCACGATTCTCTCAACCTATGCTATCTGTTGGTTATTCACTAAAAATATTTTTAAAGCTATTTTTGTTCTTTAGTCAATATTTGGACATTTTTAGTGGACTATGCAGATGATTCTATGCTAATTGTCACACATTACTATTTAATGGCAGTTTTGAGACCTTCAAATCTTAAATTCTTAGAGAATTCAAATATCTGAAAAGTGGTAGTTATTAACAAAAGAGTGGGTATTTATCATATAATCACTTCTTTAATACCTGTCTATAAAAGAACATTCTATAATGCTAAAATGCTACATAGGTTCTTTTAACCATGTTATCTTACTCATTTTTTATAGGCCTCAGAAACTCTAATTTTCTAAGCTTGATTAAATAAGTAAAAACAAGAGAAAAAATTGTCCAAGGTCTGAAAGAGATACTGTGAGAGGTCAGGAAGTGACCTCTGTAAACAGAGTTAGAGAGCTATATTTAGAATGATGAAGATGAAGTTTTGCCTAAATATAGTGGTTGAATCTGTGACCTTTAGTTCATCTAGGCCTTGTTTCTGACTTCATGGCTTCTCACATTAGGACATTTTATTTTGAACCCCAGACTCTCAAAGAAGCATTCACTGCTATTCACCTCACAATATGTCCTAGTATTGAAAGTCAAATCATTCCTCCCAAGCTGTATTCTGTTGTCCTGAACTCAGGAGAAATGGGAAAAACAGCTCCCCGATATTGGTTCTTTACCTGCACACTATCAAACAATGTCCTTTCCAGACCAACAGACTGCTAGCCTTCAGATGTTCCTTTCACTAAATCAGTGGCACTAATGTTGTAGCTTCCTTTTCTATTGGTTTTCAGGAATCTGAAAGTTCATTTCTGTGCAACACTGAAGTGTACATTCTTAATATTTGTTTTAGAATACAACTATTGTACCCACTTCATTATCACAGGATGAATTTTTTTATCTTTATCTTATTGGTCTTCTTACATTTGGATCATTTATTATGAGCTGTCAAAAATTCTTTGGGGAAGAAGTTGGGGTATAAATAATAAATTGATAAAAGAATTCATGATTAAAGAGAAGATAGAATCCATCAGTTCTCTTCTGCTAACAGTAGTGGATATCAAAAGGCTACCTTAACATTTAGCATATAAGATACTGCTTTATCTAATTGTACCACCGTATCTTTGTCTCCTCAATTTTTAATTCACTGGAAAGTTTAAGGGATACTTATTTATGGAGTTGATATTACCAAAAAGAGTTTTTAAATGAAGTTGGGTTTTTATTAGAATGGTAAAAAGTTTCTTCAGGGCAACACTGAAGAACATAACAGAATGCTGTTGGATCGGTATGTAGAGACTCATAGAAACCACTGAAATTTATCTGCACCCTCAAGTTGCGAGTCATTTATAGTGTTTATTCACACACATACGAACACACACACACACACACACATACACACACACATACACACAGACCCTCCCCAACATACACGCCTAAGTATAAAAATAATATGCAGACTCTCTGTTAATAATTTCATGACTCTCTTTTTAGGCTGGGACAGAACTTTGGAATATCATGAACAAAATAATTTCCCACAAAAGATCATTTCATTTGCCAAAATGAAACTCCTCTCCATTGTTAATGCTGTAATAAAATGGTCTGAAATATGAATATGCAATCTGACCAGAAAGGATGCTCGTGTCCCCAGCTCCAGGAGGGAGTTCTCCAAACAATTACACCCATGGAGAGGGCTGTACAGTTGTATTTTCATCACCGGCCAGCTGAGCTGTGCGCCTGTCATACTTCCCAGTCTCCCCTCCAGTGACAGCCACATTGACAACATGTTATACTCCACATTGATTTTACAGTTAAAGAGCTGATTGTGATATATAGGGATTTTAAGAATTCAGCTGAGAGGCTGACTTTTGCCTTTTATCATTCCATTAAAATTTTATAACCATCTTTTTCATGTCATTTCATCCATGAATTCTTACTTTAGAAAGTGATAGCTACTGCTGTGAGCATAACTTTTCTCATGTTCAGAGCTTTTTATTGTATTAGCCAACTACCCCAATTATAGCTATTACTCATGTTTT